CAGTAAACGGTTGAACCGCATTCTGCATTGCATTCAATGTATGTTGATTCTGATGTATATGCAACTGACACAGCTCGAAGAATGATGCAAGGAAAGCAATATGCAAGGGGTGTTCGAGGCTTGAAGCTCGCACTGGAAGCGCTATTTCGTATATTCTTTGCATCAATGGAGTCCTGGAACAGTAAACAGGGAAAACGTCTTGATTCCCATGATAGTGACCAGAGGCTACAAGAACTATGTACTGCATTTGTCATGAAAGATGTTGCATCAGTAACTTGCAAATGAACTTGATAATCATCTTGATTTTATAGTAGAAACAATCAAGGAATTCAGAAGAATCGGTCGAGAACAGTCCAAAACATTCAGTTACTGGGACACCTTAGATGGTGGTGATATACTACTACACATGTTGAGAGCTGAACGTGAAGGTGATTTTATCCTACATCTCAATGCTGTATGTGATACTCTACCCTGGCTTTGTGCAGCTGACAGACATACATATGCCAAATATCTACCAACGTATGTAGCAGATATGAAAGCATTGGAGCAAGAACACCCTGAAAGCTACAAACACCTTTGTGAAAGTGGATTTGTTGTCCGAAGGTCAGCTTATCGAAAATTGAACGGTGTTGCAACAGATCAAGCTTTAGAACAAACTGTGAATAGAGATGGTAAAAGTAAAGGAGGTGTGATTGGATTAACACTGCGCAAAGGTGCCCTTTCACGTTGGTTGAGACAAGACATGTGACTGCTGAGTTTCTAGAAGCATTTAAATCACTCTGCAATACCAATACCAATGCTGAAACATCTCATGAAGAATTAAGAAACTCCAGGATTTCAAGGGATGAACAAGATGTATGCATGATTGTGGAAACTATTACACAATACCAGAATCCATTCGATCTGGATACTGTTCCCCCACAGCTAATCAACATTGCTACAGGTCAAGTGGCCTCAACAGAGGTAAGCAAGAGTCTAACTACATTTCTTGATAATGGTAAAAAGAAGCACAAAAACATTCTTACAACACGGCTTGTAGAAAGTACACAATCAAAGAGCTTTTGGGATCCTGAACCTCGAATGAAAACCCTAACTTTTGCAGACATGCGGAAATCTGTGATGACTAGAAAGTAAGATAAGTTTATGGTTGATTCAGAGGTACTCTTCCGTCGACTTTTAGTAGTCTCTAAGTAGAGAGATGTCAACCTGAAAACTGTACTAGAGCATGAACTGGCTGCTGTGCCTCCTTCTCTCTTTCATGATGATGGCACCATGAGAAAATGTACTAAATCGGACCTTGCTAAGAAAATTGAAGCCACTTGTGAAGAATTACACAGCCTGATTACAGGTCCAACAACAGGTTATGTTATTGATGGTATGGCTCTTTTACAAAGCCTCCAGGAAACACATTTTAACACGTTTGATGACATAGGGAACCAAGTGCTGCAGTACTTAAAAAGATTAATTAGTGGTAATCTTGGTGTTATGGCTATTGCAATGGTTTTTGACAGGTATGACATTCCCCACTCCATCAAACAATCTGAGAGACAAAGACGTGGTGAAGAAACGGGAGTCACATAT